AGTTATTGCTTTAGAAATTAGTCGACTACATCAAATTGAGTAAGTAATTTAAATTTGTTGTTTGCTCTTGGTCTGTTTTCTGCTACTCTTTACTTTCTGTAATGATCTGTAAACAGAGTTGCGGCTTGTCGACAGTTTAACCCAAACAGACCGTTGAAATAAAAATAATGAGGCTCCCCTTTGATAAGCTATATTTCACAGTTGCCTTCATAAACAATTTGGTTTGTGTCCAGTGCAAATGTTTGTCTCACATTGTAAGGCATCTGGGTAAACGTCTAATTCTCATCCTCAGACTTATTTTTGTTAATCATAAATGAAGCACTCAAATAATAAGTCGTTAATTGGTATATCACGACAGGCAGGTGCCACTGAAGCGCTTTCTGAACCTATATAGATTGCATTCAGTCTCAGTGATAATTTGCATCTTTGCATGTAAACATTTACAACTCAGTGTTATCACAGAATCCGTAGGAGATTGAAACCACATATAGAGATAGGTAGCAGGAGGTGTATTTCAGCGAAGTAGGTAAGTTTTTTTCTCTGTAGGGTATTTAGTGTAATTGTGGCTGAGGATGTTGCATTTAATATTATTGTTAGAGAGTGAGTGCTTTGCACTATGTGCTTATGTAAAGACTTTAGTCTACGGTTAGATCAAGGGTTGGGTGTCATTTGTACTCATATTCATCATTATATCATTCTCCAAAGGTTTTGGATGGATGTATTATTATACATAAAATGAAGTATGGTTTTTGAAGAAAATCATTTTTTACTACAATCAATTTTTTGAAGTTTTACTTTTAGAAAATGACAAAAATGATTTATTCCCTTCTCAGTGATCATTAAAAACATAATTTTGGGCATTTCACTCATCAAACCCTTGCCTTTCTTATTTCTGACCAACTTTCTCAGTTTCTCCTGTTATTTTTGGTGATAAACCCTAAATCTTTGAAATTGGAAGACCTCCTTTCTATCATCCTACTCTTCAATTCAGAACTCTGGCTTTTACTTCAAAACCTAAACATTATTTCCAGTCTCAAGAAACATCCCTCCCTCCATCCATTGGTGCTTGAAGATGGGTTGGTGGCTATCTTGAGGCAAGACATGCCCCTCTGCAGTTGCCATCACCCAGACTTGACAAACAGCCGTGCAATCAATAGTTTTTGCTTGCATTTTTAAAGATACTAAGTAAGTAGTTACAGTGTGGAAGAAAGCCAGAGGACCCCAGATGCATGACATCGGATTCAAACCCTTGACATTCTTGATGTAAGGCAACAATACTAACAGATGATTCACAATGAAGTTGATTAAAAAGAAGCAAAGACGAACTTCCACTGCAAAATGGACAGACAAAAGTGGGACATCGACATAATTTCACATTGTCCTATACTATGGCAGTGACAAGAAATCTGACAACTAATCTGTCTGCCCTTCATGATATGTAGTGAGGTCATAATTCCATTATAAACTTTGCATCAAAAATTAGTTACATTAACTTTTGTGATACTGTTTTTTTACATTTTGAAAATTGTTTCTGCAGTTTATTGTTGAAAAAAATCTGTGAAAAAGGTTTTATTTAATCTTAACTTAATCTTAATTTTTAAAAATGACTCGTTTCACATTCTGCTTTTTGACTGACTGACATTTTGGCCTCAATGTGATACGCAAGCAAATTACAGATCGAGTAAAAAGAATGTTCTCATCTGTTCATCGGACATTTTTATTGAATGTGTCTTAAAGGAACCAAGGGCTCTTTTAAAATCCTGCCAGAGTCACTTAAGGAAATCAGAGTGGGGGGTTTTGGAGCCTGCAGGGGTTCATTAGGAACAGACTGGTCCAACTTCCTCTGCCAGGGAGGAAAAGGAGAGCACAGAAATATGGGGAGAGAAATGAAGAGAGGTAACAACCAGAGAATCAGGGCTAGCAAATGGAGAGCGGAGGCTAAGTGGTGACCAGTCAGAAAACCCTGTGAAAGACAGCAGAAAATAAAGTGAAACTAAAAAAGAGACAAAAAAAAGAGGAAAAAAAAGACATGACAAGGAGCAAAGAGAGACAGCAAATGCTGCTGTGCAAGTTTTATTCTATGACAACATGACACCACAAATCAAACCAAGACATGATGACAAGTAACGAGACAACCGTCACCAGGATCACTGCCAGTATGCCTGTTACCTATTGGCTGGCACACTCTTAACGCCGCACTCTTTTCATTGTGGCTGTCAAGCTGTGGAGTACTCTAAATGAAAACAGACCTCTTCCTTATTTTTCTTTTGTAGCAGAGGTGAGGTATGGTAGCTCGAAGTGCAGCTCTGTCCTCAATTCACAGAGGGACGCATTGTATACTTTCTTTCCATTGAGTGAAAGAGTTGTATAGCGTCTCTGTTCCTTTTTCCCTTTTTGCACTGGAAGGCATTCATCACCCACCTTCTGATAAATGGTTGTTGTATACAAAAAACACACACTGGTGCACACATAGCTTTACAAAGCTGCTTCCATACAAGCCCTGTTCATAGCAGAGGATTTAGTGCCTCACCTGTGGCTGTGACACCAGAGAGGGGATTCTATTTAGAAAGATTCTCAGGAAACTTTATTTCAGAAAAATTTCAACATTGAAGCATCTGTGCTTATATCCTTGAAGTGTCGCTGTGGACTATTTTGTGTGCATGCATGATTCCCTTTTTTAAATAGCCTTTTGGTGAACCCAATGTGCAGGGCTAGGAAACGGAGTCTTTGCAGTCTTTTGATGTTTTTTTTTTTAGTCTTTACTTTTTTTTCAGTCTTTGTTTTGGTCAATGTGGCCAACAACTGGCAGTATACGAAACACTCCGATTCCCTTAGATCCAAAGAGTCTGGTTGTGATATAAATGTTATCCTTAAACTTTGCTCCTAAACCTGCCAGTGAGGACAAGCCAGGCATGTTTCCAGGTTAGAGATGGCAACTTCAAAGGTAGGAATGAGATTATTGGGGAGTAACCAAGACCAATTAAAAGATTTTGATAATCCCCAACATTTTGGGAAGGTATTTTGTGGACTGACTCAACAAAAAAGTAACTATCTGAGAGTTTTTGGCTTACATTAACACAACATTTCAGGAGTAAGGCATGGTGGTTGTGTGTATGTCTGTTGCTTTTGTTGTTTTGGGACCCGGATGTATTGTCATAATTGATGAAACAATATGTTCTCCTCTATGATAGAAAATCTTAAAGGAGAATGTCTGACCTTCAGTTTGTGACCTTAAAAATTTTTTAGGGTTGGACAACTATTGGAAACGAGTAAGTTAATTTCATCACTGCTCAATAAAAAGAAAAAAAAGGGCAGTCAAAGTGTGGATTTTAAAATCAAATAAGATTCTTACTGAGACCTCTAAAAGGCTATTTATGTTTTTCTCCCTTTGTACATTAATCATAATTTTAAAACATTTTTTATACTCAGATTATCTTTGTCTGACAATACATTTTGAGTAATTATGTAAAAGATGTTTGTGTTGCAAGAAAGCAAAATAAGAAGAAATCTTTAAGAGGAAATTTACTATTTCACAGTACTCTGTTGTCTTTGGGGGGCTAAGAGAAAGAAAGAAATAAGATGATGTTTCTTAGAAATCTGGTTTCTTCATAGATTTTAACAGACAATAAAACCCTAAAGAGTTAAATTTCTTTGCTATGTATTGAAATATTGTTGAAATAAGCATAAACAGTATTGCATGGTTTTTATAATGAAGTAAAGATTTAGGAAACATTTCAGCTGGTTTCACAAAAATATTAGTATCAATTTACATCTGTAAATGAGTCACAGGTAAAGTTACAAATTTTATTTTTTTAATGAAGAGATGAGAAATTGTTGAGCCTCAAAAAGAGAGAATTGGTTGATAACCTGATCAACTCAATGTATGTTTTGTTGGTTTGCATTACAGCAGCTGGATAGAAATAATACCATCTGTTCCATTCAAGTATCCTGGTGGTCACAGTGTGTGCAAGCTTTTGTGTTTGTCTTTAAAGACCTTTTGTGTAATAAAAGACATTCGTTAACAATTCTGACACATACTTACAAAAACTCCCACAACAAATGCACCACTATCAGGGCCATTGAAATCCTAATAATATCAAACCACCCACCCAAACTATTGTTCCCAAACAGAAAAAAATGGGTGCTTCATGTGTTTTTCAGGCGGAGACCTGGCTTATCTGAACAATCAAGGTTTATCAACCCACGCCAGCCTTTCGATGGGCATCTGTTGCATTGTCATTTGAAGTCACCACATAGGAAGACACCATTCCAATTGCTGTTGCCAGTTCTTCCTTTGTTGCTCCTTTTGTTGTGTCACATAAGCCATTTCTGACCACGGGAGGAGGCATAAAGGAAGCTAACAAAGAGAAAAATAATTCATTTGTTGTGTCAAGTATAATAACTGATATTTGAATACTTTACCCTGGTGCTTGGAATTGTTCTGTTGAGAAATGTAAGTTGCTCTTGAATTATTCCCTGGATGATACCAGCTTTTGTACCTAGAATCCCATGTGGCTTACTCCTTTCTTGCTCGGTTGAATCTCGCTGATTGCTTTTGACTGTAAATGATAGAGCCAAGCTGAGAAATTCTTTATTGCTGACAGGAATGTTAGTGGTGGCTGTGCCATACAGTCTGTTTTGAGCAAATTTAGACTTTAGATTTCAGGGTCACTTATGCAAACTGTTGTGCGCAAACATACAGACAGGTTCTTCTTCACGCTCATGTTTACACACATCATTGCCAGACAAGATTTCTGCAGGAAAAGGCCAAACCGACTTTAAAGTGTCTCTCAAAGGGGAAGAGAAAAAAACCCCCCAAACATCTTCAATCTCTGTCTGTCTGCTTGCTCCATTCCTCTTTCCTTTGCTCGTTGGAAGAGCTGTTTTCTTTTCAAACAAGCCTACAGTCTGTTCCTGTAATTGCATACAATCCCTGTCTCCAGAATGTTACAGAAAGAAAGAAAAATTTTTAAATGTCCCTTTTCTTCTTTGCTTGACAGATCAATCGAGCTCCGAGCTTTGGGACTGATCAGAAGCTTGATTACGATGTGAAGAAAGGGGTGTTGCTCAATGCTCTCGAACTCCTCAACATCAGGTATTGCTTTCTGCTGCAGTCATCATGTATGTGGGTATGCATGCAGATACACAAGCATATTGTATCAAGGGGCCCATTAAAGCTCAAGTAAAGGCTTTTTTCTTTAATGTTTAAAGATTTCAGTCAGTGCTTACTTTGATGCTTGGTGGAGTTCAGAACCTTTTTGACATTTGATTTTAAAACTGTGACTGTGGTAATGGTGTGAACAGTTGCACAACATAAATCAGATTTGTAAATCATTGTGTCTTAGTGATAGTTGCAGGACACACCAGATCCTTACTGAGAAACATTCACATATCAACAATGAATCTCAATTTCAATCAGTGGAAAAGAAAATTAGCTTTTGCTGCACTTCAGCAGCAAAAAAAAGAACATTGTCGTACTCCTTGAGAAAAATCTATAAACAATTTATTTTCTAGCTAAGGGAAAAGTTAGGACACTCTTATGCTTTTATGACTTTATGCCCATTCAAAGTAGACATATATGAAGCATAAGTTGGAATATCTTAACTTAAATCTGACCATAAGTGGTCAGATTTAAGTTAAGTTGAGATACTTACTTACTTCTTGTATAAAATTTCAACATTTGTTTACAATATGTTTTTGGGTATTATTAAAATGTATATTAAACATCAGTGTGTCCTACACAAACACAGGCTCTGAGAAGGTTTCCTGTCAGTACTTTTTTTTCACAGATCTGTGCATAAGTGTTTTAAAATGGAAGTAAAACCTTATCTGCACATGTTGTCAGTGTGTGTGTGTCATGTCACTTTTAGCTTTAAGTTTATAATGTCTGTGACTTCTTTGTTTTTATGTTTTACTCGACTTTGTATATTTATTCAGCTTCCTGTGCTGCATTTTCTGCTTGCTTTGTCTGCCTGTTTTGCTTACGTTTTCTCTTTTTGTGGTGTACTGTACTTCTGTATACATAGTGGTTTGTGTGTAATGTGTAGCGGATGTGTATGTGTGTGTTCATAGGCATGCTTTTCTGTCCCCTGGCTACAGTGACTTTGTTCTCTGATTGATCACTGTACACAAGACCTCTAGATCTCTGCTCCCTTTGTTGCTTTCTCTCTGCATGTCCTCTTCTCCCTACCCTAAATATAGTCTCCTCCCCAGTAGTCATGCACATACAGAAACATAATGAAAACATATACTTAGGCACAGAATCAAATAGAAGCATCTGAGTAAATAAGACAATCATCAAAACATAAAGTTATTCTAATAATTAAATTCACAGTTACATTTATAAATCAAATAGATTCAAGACATAAAATAATATATATTTCAAGAATTATTTCAGTTGATTTTGAGGTAACCACACTAATTAATAACCTAATTTATGATTTTACATAAAATCTATTAACAGAATATTTCAACAGAGAAATTTTATTGACTAAGCAGTCTTGTGGAAGACTTTGCACCAGACATTCTCCAAAAAGTGGACGAAGTAGGGCACTGTGCTGCATCTAAGCATATTAATGAAATGTTGAGTGGAAAGAAAAGGTATCATCCAATAAAGGTGCACAAGCAACAGGGATAACCACAGCCTCACTCTGGAATTGCTGAAATAAAAAATATATATATAGATAAAATTCTTCTAATTTATTGAAATGCAGAGATGATCAACTTACTTGTATAATAGATGTATCTTGTTGAAAACTCTCTGAGCTGTGCTACGTATCATTCTGGAACTTCTGGTTGATGTGTTCCCAGTTCTCTGACAAAATTTGCTTTTATTTCAGGATTGACAACATGTATTGAAACCAAGCAAGAACACAAAGCATACATAGTATGAAGCCCTTTTGTTCGTGGAGTGAATGAGTGTCTTGCAGAACTTTAATCTATCTCTTTTAATATACATTAGCTTTTCTCGCCCAGAGGAAGGAGTTGCTTGACTCTTTGGTCTGTTTACAACGCAAACTGAATCCAACTGGGATCAATTTAGACCCATTCGGGCATGGACATTGATAGACGTCACTCCCCCTCACAGCACTCAATATTCAGTTTAAAGGGCCAGCAACTGAATTAAATACATTTTTCTTTCTCAAAGCTGCAGTAACCTACTTGTTCATAATATTCTGTCTAGTCCTATTCCTCCAGTTGTTTGAATTTAAGCTTGATTTTTTTTCTCAATATATTGTTTGAATTGTTTTGGAAGGAAATTTTTTTCTTAATAATAATGAAGAGTAACCTCTTAAACAGACATTAAGTAGATAAATATTCTCAAACATTAATGGCTATTTTTTTTTACTCTATAGACAAGAAAAGAATGATCAAACATCTGCTATATGGAAAAACTATGAAAACAAAAAATAGAGCATAGAGGATTATTAAACAGCTGAGAGCTTTTCTCTGTGAGGAGCCTAAACATCTAAACATTTTATTAATTGACTTGTTTTATTGTGGTTCAGGGCCAGTGATAAGAAAAGAAACCTGGCTCAGGAGAAGGCAGAAGCTCAGAGGCGGCTTTATGGTCATGGCTTCATGAGGAAACTTACAGCTGCTTCCACGGACTGGGAGAAACAACGTCACACGCTGGAGCGGAGAAGAGAGGAACTGGTATGGCACAAACGGGATATTACACCTTCAGCTGATTTGAATGTGTGCAGAATTTTTTAAGCATTCTTCCAGTCATGAATTATTCCTTCTGCAATGTCCTTATTAAAAGACGGTTCTCTTAATTGCTGACCACAGACGTATGGCAAGCAGCCTCTGTTGAGGTCATAAGCTGTGTAAGGTGCTGCTCATTACCTATGGTCAAAGGAAAATTATGTCCCACTTTGACTTTTAGAACCTGTATGGATGTATGAAAGTAGAGTTCATGCTTTGATTGATAATAAATTATAACCTCAGTGGCATCTGTAACCTCATTTTATCAAGATAAGACTGCTGTAACTTAAATGTTTCTTTTCCCATTTCTTCTACTGCATCAAAATTCCAACTTTCCTTCATGTGACAGCAATTATTTGGGTGAAGTCTGTGCATTGCATTTTCAAGCATTTTCGTATGCTTGCGTGAATATGTAATGTGTTTCATATAACTGCCTGCAAAATAACTAATTGGTTAAATTAGGTGCTGGAACACTATCAGATTGGTAGCACATTTTAAAAGACAGATCTTCCTTTGAATGCTCTGAGAATTAAACCAACTTGAACTTTTGGCTTTGCTAATGCCTGTGAGTCTTAAAATCTAGTAGCACTACAGGTTCTAGTAGTGCAAAAAATTTGGAGGATTTCATCAGCCTTAATGCATTATATTAAAAAAATTAAGAATATGGAGAAAGTTTTATACAAAGGAGAAACAAACATGGAGAATGGAAAGTGTTGTGTCTTCTGTGGCTTGAACTCAGGAGAAAACCGATATGCCGAAATCTGAAACTGCTTTAAAAAGCAGAGATATTGCCTCATTCTGGTTAACGTGGACAGGGAGCATCTGGAGCAAGAAAACATTTTCCACATTTTCAACCTTACAAGACACTTGCAACAATGGACTTCTCAATAGCAGCATATTTGCTGACATTTTTTAAAATATCCATAAAAGCTGAATACAAAATGTTGCTGTTCAAAAATTTTATTGGAATATTTGAAAAATAGTGAATTCCAGCAGTGGCATTAGTTTTGTTTAGGCTTTATTTATTTTTTAATTAAATCTAGGGTATAAACATGTTTGGATTACACCTTAGTCTCTTTGGATTTAGTACTTTACAAATAAACACGATTCATTTAAACTGCAAGGCACAAGCAACATACTGGTAAGCTGCAGATTTAGAAAAGAAAAAAGGTTGTAAGAACAAACTCAGTTCCACTTATTTCTCAGCGGATGTCAAAAGAGTCAAAGTTTTCTGAGACATGTGCACTGTTTAATTATTTTTCCTTTAAAATAGCAGAATCAGGGGAGCTTTTCTAATCTAGATGAGGAAAAGTGGCAGCTGCTAGTGCTTTAATGCCTCCCACCCTCTTTGATTAGCCTTTTGATAGCCACAGCTGTAATCAGTGGGAATAAGGAGCGAAGGAGCAGAGGCGCTCTTTCAAAAAGGGCACCACCTCATCTTTGAGTGCTGTTTTGGCTGAAGAGTGAGCTCAGGTTGAGGTCTGCTGAAGGCTCATATCGCTCAGCATTTAATGATACTGCGGCGCTAGTGGCAAAGTGGTCCCCACCTCTCCGCTTTTTGTCAATTTGACAAGCTGAGACGCACAATTACACATTTATTACATGCTAATGAGAGAGGGAAAGGGAGAACATATTATTAATTTATGGCAGTGATGTCTTTAAACCCTTTCCCTGTATTTTGCAAGACTTCGTTGTTTTCATTCTGTTACTAAGTGAAATGTTTTCCTTTGTTTCTAGAAAGAACAACTTGCACAGATTCGCAGGCAGGTTTCCAGGGAAGAACATGAAAATCAACATCTGGGGAATTACAGGTAAAGATGAGGCAAACAGCTGGGGAGAATGGGCTCTCCCTTCAGGAGCTCCACCCACTGTTTTTTGTGCCAGCTTGCTTGCATTTACGAGGTAATCTGCACAATGCCAAACTCTTGGTAAAATAAATGTTGCTGCTGACAGAATGAAAAAAAGAACACCTATTGTTTTTGAGATTGCAAGAAACTGGAATAAACACAAGTTAAAATCAGAGAAAGGCAGAAAAGCGAAGGAAGGGAAGCTCAAATTGCTTCTCCTCTTGCCAAATTCTTACCCTTTGCCGCAACTTAGAAACACAGATTAGCAGGTAAACTTTGCTTGCTTGCTGCGAGCCATCTCATCCCTGCCCAACAATCCCTTTTTTTCTCCCCTTCACCTCAAAACCCCCAGCTGGGTCTCTGGAAGACACAGAGCGTATCGATTTTCTAACCTCACAGATGGAGCAGATTCACCCTACCGCTTGACTTAGCAAGTTAAAATTTACCACTTGGTCCATGTAAACCATTCGCTCCTCTTTATTCCTCATTTTATGCTTCTTTCTCCATGCAGCACTACAGCAACAACAGAATTTTATTTTTTTTGTCTTTCCTCCAATGTCTTACACAAAAACAGACACACTCACCCGTCTTTCCATCTCCAAAAGTCGAAGTAACTTCCTGACATAGTCTCAGTCAGAACGCTCCTCCAGGCCTGCATGAAGTCCTGTCACCTCTTTCCTTTTCCTCGACAGGCTGCCAGACAGTCAATCAGGCAGGCTGGAGCACCCCTAATAAAGACCTCTTAGCATTCAAATGGTGCCCTGGCGCAGCGCTGAACTCTGATTAACACACTGCTCCTCATTAGATGAGTTTGAGTAATGAACTCACTTACATTTGGCTATTAGATAAGATCTGTTTCAGGTACAGACCCTGTTACGTCTGAGGAAGACCCAGCTGCTAGTTGCTAGCTCACTACCTTGTTAAACAGCAGGAGTCATGAGACTTTAAAGATGCTGTTAAGCAGAAAACAAAGAAGGATTTTCTTAATGTCTCAAATAAAGAAGTAGTTGTAGTTCTTCATTTCACTTAAGTGAAATCACACAGAAAGAAATCTAATCATCAACTTAATCAAGACATACATATATTCAGCTTTAGAATGCCCGACGTGTTCACATGGCCTGCTGAAGAAGTGACCATGAGCTTTTCGGTAAAATGAGGCTCTTTAACTATTGGCAAGTTCTAGCGTCTATTATGTCTATTGATTTAATTTTTTTTATGTGATGAAACCTTTTGATATTTTGTCGAGTGTGTCTTTGAAAAGAAGTAAAAGAATTAGATCCATTCACCTCTGAAGTATTATAACTGAAGCAGTCCCTCACAAAAGGATTAATATGCCTTGAACTTTTTCATACTTCATCATGTCACAACTACAAACTACAATGTCTCTTTTATGCAACAGATTAACTCAAAGTACTGCATAACTGTGCAATGGAAGGGAAAAGATTCAAGGTTTTCTATATTTTTTACAAATAAAAACCTGTGACCTGTGCCGACTAGTTTATGAAACCAGCCTTTGCTGCAATTATACTGTAAGTCTTTTGCTATGTCTTTACCAATTTTATACATGTACATACTGAAGTTTTGTCTAGTTTTATATGCAGAATAGTTTAGTCAGATTGAATGAACATACATTTGTTGTGAAAATTTATTGTTTTTTGCTTTGACTAGACCATTGCCTTAACTCTGACCAGCTTTGTGGTCTCACCATCCACATTGTGTATGGTATTTTTTTAGGTACAGTGCTTGTTTTCAGCTACACATAGTATTTTGGATGTAAGCCAAACACATTTGGCATTTAGAGTCATCTGACAAGAGCACTTTCAATCTGCTGTTCCTACATGACTTGTGACAAACTGCACTAGTTTTCTTTCCTTAAAAAAGGCCAGATTTATAAATAATGCCAATAATAGTTGCCTTATTGATAGATTATTTGACCTGTGCCCTGGATCTCTGCAGCTCCTCCAGAGTTAGTAACCGTTTCATGAATGTTCCTCTTAACAATTCTCTCCTGGTATGTCTTGGTAGGCTTGGATTAGCTGTATATTGTTTAATGTTACAAATAGCACCTCAGACTATCATTTGAAGTGCTGTGTGACACAACACAAAAACACACAATGGGTATTATTTCTTTTGCAAAGCATTGTAGTTGGAAACATCTCACATTGAACTGAACTAAGAAAGGAGCTTAGTTAGTTGGCTTATATCAGGACCCAGAACTTAGCAGTTGCTTTATTTGAGCTGCAGTCGTGTGGAATTGGGTCATCTTCTCAACAATATGAAAATCAAGTACCCAGAACAGCTACACAGCATAAAATTATTAATTGCACATGGGGAGCAGTTAAAGATTTAATGCTGAAACAGTGAACCTTTACTTGGCATTTTACTTGCACTAAAATCTACTGTTCACATTGAGATTCTCATAAGTACTTCTTTACCTATAAGTTCTCAGATAAAAAAAAAATAAAAAATCATGATTTAGTTTTTCAAGAATGTTTTCTGCTTTAGACATTACCATCATGTCTGATGCGAAAAGGCCATCTAACGGAGTGGGATTTGGACTCTACCGATGCCAGAGCATTCCCCTGCTTTTTGAACTTAAAGTGCCCAATGCTTATTTTGCTTTAAAAGCTGACATTGTTTTGATTTGATGGCCAGCGCGATGACGAGGGTGGGTGGGTTTGGAGATGTATTTTGAGGATAACCAGGCAGAGGTTTACGCATTGTTCTATTCCCTTTAGATCTACTATAAACACTGGGGTTAGTTTAATCTTTAGGGTGTAATTTTAAAGGGTGCATTAGTCCATATTGCAAAAAAAAAAAAAAAAAAACTCCAAAACACTGCGAAGTGTACTTCTGTGTGCAGAAAGCAGCTGCATGAAAGCAGCGCTCCATGTGAAAAGACTGATTAAATGAGAGTTTTGTTGTTTCTTTACTCAAGGTTGCCAGTGAAGCCTGTCTTTTTGTAATTTCTCTCTGCCTTCTTCTTCTCATTTGTTTTTCTTTTTTATAGCATGCTGTAATCCTTTTCTATATCTATATTTTATGATCGGCTTACTGCATCCTCTTGTCTCTTGTTTTGTTTTTTTGTTCTAAATTTTTCTCAAATATTTAGTTGTTCTCTCAGTATTCTGTATTTTTTTTTTTACTGTACTAAACATTTTTCTTCAAATTCTATCACTTGTCCTTTAACCTTATATGCCTCCTTTGCTTAACCCCACGCTCTCTCTATCTTTCCTTTCTCCTCTTTACCCTTTATCGCCCGACTCTCATTTCAACTGTCTCCCCTCAATGATAACCCTTTTCCGTTACCTTCTATTTTCCATCTATTCTTTTTATTTATTTTTATTTTTTTTGCTCCTTTCTCACTCTCCTTGCCCCTCTCTCTCCCTGTCTCTGTGGCCTGCAGACGTATTTACCCCCCAGACGACAAGCTGCTGTTGGAAAAGTATGAAAGCCTGCTCTCGGCCGCCTTTCAGACCTTCCTCGCCGGGCGAGCTGCCTCACTTCAAAAGGAAATGAATAATCCTCTGAAACGAATGAAGGCACGTACATCAGTGGCAGACTGTCACGGACACACACACTCACACAAACACATGCTGTAGAAACCTGCAGAGATCCACACCTGAACATACACACACGCATAACATTCAGGCATCTGTGGGCAGGAAGCAGAGGAACACACACACACATTTCTATTAAGATTCTGCCCACAGAGACGATTAGGGATGTGCAAATAATGCAGAGTATGTTGCAGACCATGGTTTTTGTTAGGAAGTTTGACAATATGCAGGAAGGCAGAGCACAATATGTGCTTACTGTCATTCATACTGTCTCTTCACAAATATTTATTGTGTAGTGCATGATGTTTTTAAAAAGGAAAATCAAATCCCACAGAACAATGTTATGTTTGTTCCATTCTTCACTTCGACACCATTCACTCTTCCGTCGGTCGTCTTTCTGGATCTTTTGCTTTTCTCATGTCTTTCTGACAGCATCAGTTCTGAGTGAGTAACAGTTGCTTCCCACAAATATGTTTTACTTTTTTGCTGTTTGTTAAAGAGTAAGATATTGAACATATAAGGACACATTTAACATGTTGAAATAAAAGTCCTATAACATGCCCTCAGAATTTGGTAATTTCACAGGGTTAGGAAGTAACGTTTTCTTGTGCCAGAGGCTCATCTGCGGTTTCGAGTAATCCTGCTTTTGCTCAGGTGTGAAGTTGAAGTTATGTCGGTAAACAGAGCATTGAAACTGACTAAAAACTTTATAATTTTTTTTAAAATTATAAAAGGGAATATGAAAGAGAGTGCAGTAGGACAAAATGACAAGTAGCTGAGAGAAATAGTAGCTTTTTTTCCCCATTTTCTGATCTGTAAAAACAACCTTTCAAAAAACTTCACAAGAGACTTTTAACAGCAGTTTTCTGTCATGCTTATGTTTTCAAGAGTAGTAAAACAATGATACTGAAAATTGAAGTGGGGAGCACTAAGCAGAACGATAGAAATACATTTAGAAGGCAGATACTTTAAACTTAGGATTTTTAAGAAATGTATTGACACAAGAAATTATTTTCACATCACCCGTAAGGACATATTGCAATTTTCATAGGAGCTACTCACAGTGTGTCTGACCTTTTGCCATTTTCTTCTCTAAAGACTGTTGTGTGTGTTTTGTTTTGTTCTTACTAAGAATGGTGTCACTGCAGATGGTGTCACTGCAGAGGAACTTCATAAAGATATGAATCAAAGTTCAGGCTGAGTCGAAAAAGAACACATTTTTAATTTGGCCAGCACAGAGACAGGGATTTTGTTCAAAGCCAGAAGGAAGAGAGAGTCGCTCTGCAGCTTGCTATCTGCCACCACAATCATGTCTAACAACTGAACTGTCCTCATTAAGGGACACAGTGTGAAATACTAATCTAGGCTATTTATCAGAAAGAAGGAAGGTTCCTGAAGTTCAGTCTGATAATGATCGGCCCAAACGTAGGGCATTTCATGCTGATGGAGATACGCCTTTCAATATGTGTTCCATACATCACATTTAATAACAAATGTAATCATATGGGATTTTATTATCATATAATCAGAAGACCAAAGGTTCCTTTGCAACATAATCACTTCTGGAAAGCACAGTTTCTCTGAACTAGTGTGAGAACTGTAGCCTAACTGTAGCTGAAGCGTTCCAAAAAAAGCACATAAACTTACTGGTTTTTGTGCTTTTCAATTATGGAAAAGTTAGGAAAAATCAGTTCTGTTTCTAGACTCCCTTATATTACTAATTACAATCCAGACGAGCAGATCTTTTGTCATATAGATAGCATTTATATTTATCACTTGAGTGCACCTTTTGGTAGCATAAACCCTGGCATTGTTTGTGAGAAGGCAGTTTGCAGTGAGCTTAGTTCCACTGAAAACTAAAAAATGGTGTCCTTTTGTGGATGACAAGGTTTATCTAAACATGAAATGTCTTTAATTAACTTTTTACAGAAATCTAAAGAGATCTTAGGTATATTCCTATATTATTCAGTGCACTGTTTTTAGAATTTGGTTGAACTTGGTTACCAAAAGAGGCCAGGAAATTTTATTAGAAATAAGAAGATTGCAATTAGACAATTAGAGAAGTACAGTGTGTGTGTGTGTGTGTGTCTATATATATATATATATATATACTTGTTATTGTTGTTTTCTGTAAAAATTCATCAATGGCCCTGTCCATGGTCATAATTTTATTGCGAGCAAACAATCAATATTTCAGTCTGACAGTTTCTGGACCCACAACACTTTTGTTTGCTGGCTTTGCGAGCTTCTCACGGCCACAAATTGAAAAAAAGTCACGGACTGTCACACTATCAAAGAACACAGATTGTGTGTTGTATTCCTAGAAATAAAAAAAAACATTGGTTGACTGCAGAGCACCCTCTTGCTTTCAGCTTGCTGTGCCAGAGACGTTTCAGCAATGAATTACACTGTTTTCCACAGAGTTTGCATCACCCTTCTCCACACTTCCATTACAGTTAGGTTGAAAGGTATGCATCAGATTGTTAGCTCTGTTGTTGGCTGTATATCTTTTCCACCCCTCAGACGATGTCTTTCTACTCCTTCACTTTTAGGAATAATGAAAATGAGAAACAGGATATTGTCAAAGCAGCCTGTGGTTTTCTGTCAGAAACTTTAAAAAAGCATGTAAACACACAGTCTTAGCAAACGTGAATCAAATGTTTCCAAAGAGGCAAGTACAGCAAATGCTGCAGTTAAGCATTGATATTAAAACAGCTCATTTTTGCCAAATTTTTTAAACTAAAGATAAATCTGATGTGAAAGTAGGTTTTATTGTACAATGAACATTCTCTCTAAATTTAAATGGATTTTCTTTTCAACGTTGTAGCTCTCACAAATAACTGGAGCACGACGATGCTGTTTGCAGTTCAGGGTTACTTGAATTTAAAAAGAAAAGCAAGGCAAGTTAATTTGTATTGCACATTTAAGTACTAACAAGACAATTCAAAGTATTTTACATGAAGAAAACAAAACGTGAGGATGTCACAGAGTTGTATGTTGTGGAATAGAATGGACAGAAAAGTTTGAGTACAGACATAAATGTATTTTTTTTGTTTTTTAGATAAAAAAAAAATACAGTAAATGAAGGGAACCAGGAATCTAAAAGACACAAATTGCTGTAAACACTATGTGTGATGAAGGTTTAAAAAGCATACATATATGGTGATCAGCATTAGTATTACACATCCCTCCCGTCTTTGTGGACAACTCTTAATTTGAATATATATTTCTGCTTGATATTAGGATTTAATATCATTGTTTATTTGTGTTGTTTAGCATTAATCTCAGCACCTCTGGTCATCCTGCCCCTCAGCTGTTGCTCATTTAGTTATTGCTCCAGTTTTTCATTCTCCCAGTGCTACAGCAGGACTTCTTGTTGCTTCCTCCTGTTTTATGCCGTCATGGTTCTATTATTCTCCTGATTCTCTGGATAGTCCTCTTTTGGTTTTCAATCTTCATGGGATTTTACCAACCTCATTCCTGAGCTTTTGTCCTGTACCACAGAAAAATATGGAAGAACGTTAAAGCATACATCACGTCATGACTTATAAATATTATTAGTTGATGTTAAATTTTACTTTATAAAGAATTCTTCATATGTGCAGTCAGACAAATTCAGACAACAAGCAGGTTTATCTTTTCATAAAATATAGTATAAGTGATTACAAGATATACGTTATTTCCAATAGAAAATCAAAAACATCTAAAATTAAGAAAAAATAAATAACTTTTTCTTCCAATGTAATTTCTGCATATATGTCAAGGTGGGTTTTCTCCTGTGCTGTAAAAACATGTCAAAACATTGGGGTAATCCACTTGCTGTTATTTAACAAGGTAATGGGCCTCCAGTGATTTTTAAACCACAGTGGGTGGGGAAAGCTTTCACCTCATAAAAGCTTATTGAGTTGGCAGCAGATTTTTATTGCCTGTAATTTGTAAATAATTCCACAAAGCAAGGCAAAGTGACGTTTTTCCTATAATAATTACTACATTGTAAAAAGTTAAAAGTTTAGTTCCTGGCTTTTCAAGGCTGCTTAAAAAACCATTTAGTGCTGCAAAGCTACAGGATGCGGCCTCATTTTTAGAATGGGTTCCCACAGTGTGTTAGTTTGTTACGTTTTATTACGTTAGAGGGAGTCTGATGGGGACTCCCTCTAATGTCCGCATCAGACATTAGATGAATACATCTAATGTCTGCTGGCGTACAGTAGACATCAGTAGTGCAGAGCATACTATGCAATCTGAATTATCAGCACAGATAACATGGTTCAAACCTACCTTTAAAAAAATGATAATCCTGGTTTTGAACTTGCTTGGAAACCTTAGTGGAAAATTACAAAGTCTGTACTTTGGCAGGGCTGGCACCTCTGCAAAAGATTTGTGTCATACCTCAAATAAATTATTATTATTTTGTCATTGTAGCATAGTTCACTGCATACTGTTTAGAAAATTCTCAACTTCTATTTGAGATTATTTTTTCTAAAAAACATTAGAAAAAAGTTTTTTCAGTCAACTTCAGCTATTTCTCTAGACAAATGTTTCCATACTTTGGTTGTCAAGGCACACTGCCCTGCATGTTTTAGATGTTTATCTGCTTTGACACTCTTGATGAAGACAACAGAAGCCTGGTAACTGGCCATCAATTTGAAATCAGCTATGTTGGAGCAGGGAAACATCTAAAAGTTGGTGGGAATTGTGGCTTCATAACCATGGTTGAAAAACATGGCTCTAGACAAAATGTATAGAAGGGTTTTGTTCAATTTCTTTTCGATTTTACAGAAAAAAGTAAATTAAATCCAAACATATAGTCAAATTGGAAGTCACAGACAGATTGAAAGTCAATCCACATATGAAACAAATGACATTTAAGCCATCTGCGTCCAGAATGGCATGTCCCACCATCCAAGCTTTCACGCACTCACAAGTATTAATTCTACCAGAATGAATCCAGTGAGCCAGCGGCCAGCTGACAATCACATTGGATTTGAGCAGCAAGTGGAAGCCTGTTATTTCTCTGCCTTAAACAACATTAATAATCTTTGCCTGCATTTCAACAGCTGCCAACTGGACCAGGCTTGTGCATGCTGATGAAGGCCATGAAGCTCCTTTTTTTTTTCTACTAATTCTCTCTCAATAAGCTCGGCTCAGCAAAGAATCTTAGGCCAGTGTATCTTTTCCAATCTCCCCAGACAAGGCGCATATATAAAAGTGTGAAGTTTAGGTTTTTTTTTACTTTCACATTAATTGAAGAACTTGACAATCCAGAGACATATTAAATCATAATTATTAGTCTGTAAGTGTATCCAAAAGATTAAACTATCCTGACTAATGATTTTTTTTTACGTGTTTAACTGATCTAAACTGAGCTGCCTGTATGTATTAACGTGCAGGAAGAAGATATACTGGATCTCCTGGAACGATGTGAGCTGGATGACGAGAAGCTGACGGGCAAATCCTCCAGGCAACGAGGCCCAAAGGTGGGTGAAAGAGAGAGAGGTTGGGAGACACTGAGCACAGAGTGCATAGGGTCCAGATGCCTCATGGGACCTTCAAAAAAGACGATTGCCAGAGAGAAAGGGATGGAGGTAGTGAGATGCCTGGAGCTAACACTCTGAGAAAGCACATCGGACGTGATTCAGAAAAATAAAGGTGGTGGTGGTGAGTATTGGGGGGAATGGGGGTTGCGGCTGTCTAGCAGCTTTGGAAAGAAAGAAAGGAATCAGAAAGAGGCCCAAAGAAGGGACCCAACTCCCTAAGGGGACAGCTGTCAGCCTGTTTCACCTACGCTCCCCCACTTGCACCTCCTTGCTATCCTTCTCTCTGTCTATCATTCTCTTCTTTTTCCTCTCTGTCACATCCACCTGTAAGCCCCTTCAATTTCCTGCGACAGCACATTATTCCCTCCATCAACTTGCTCCACTCTCCTCCGTTCACCTCTCCATCCCTCTCTCTTTTGGGTGCGTGTACATCATCCCTCATTCGAGGGCTAAATTGACTGGAACACTTGAGGAGTGTGTTAGGGACCAGACGTTGAAGTTCAGTGTTACGTTTGTGAGGCCCGAGCCAGAATGAGAACTTGTTCAGACACAATCACTGTTGTCCAAATTAATTTCGGGCCCGTCAGCTTCGATGTTGCAGAACGTATGGAGAGAGACATCGGTAACAGGGGGAAGTAAAGTGCTGTGACGGATAGATTCCCTCTCGAGGGTGAGTTGCTTACAAGCCATCTGGTGGAGCTGAACCAAGCAGAATGTGAAAGCACGATGAGTGGAGTTAGACAGGATTTTGAAGGAAAGACATGGCACTGATGTTTCTGTCAGCGAAGGAAATGTTAAGGCAGACGGGACAGGAAGTTGAGAAAAAGAATGGCAGGGAGGTTTATAAGCCTTTTTAATTGCTTTTTGTCTCCAAATCCTAATTTTGATTTACTGTTCTTACACTTGTGGTTAATACTCTCTTTCCCTACTCTACTGCTTGGTTTCTTGTTCAGAATGATTGCTATTCTCACCAAAATTTCATCTTATTTTTAGTGTCTGATCTCTCATTTTGTCTCTCTCTTCACTGATGAGGGACTGTCTGTCCATGCATGCTTTTCATCTCCTCTCCATTTCCGAAATCATTGCCTTTCTGAGTTCATTTCCACCTCTCTTTGCGTATTATCTCCCTCCTCTGTGCTTCTATTTGTTCCTTTCTGTTGCCACTGCTGAGATTCACCTTGTCCCTCTCTTTATATTTCACCTCATCAATCTGACGTTCCAATCTTCCCTTGTTATTCTCTTCTCATGTATTTAATCTCTCTCTGTCTCTAGCCTCCTCCATCACTCACCCACATGACTACCCAGCGGCGACTCTTTCAGATCCATGATCACTTCCTGCTTATTAATTTGGATGGCCTTACAGCAATGCCAGACCCGAACACTGAATAACAGATGAAGAAAAGCTTTATCAATGTCTTCATGGTGTCCCTCTTTCAAATTGGGAGATATATAATTAACATTAAACTAAAAACTTCTGTTTGTTAGCTCATGCTTTACATGCACAGACAGATATTTTCACCTTCTGGTTTCTAAGTTCATATTTTCTTAAAAAATCTCCATGTTATCAAAAGCTCTCATGTACTCAACTTTTTATCCATTCATGTGAAGAATTGAAGGAAAACAACAACTGTTGAAGAATGAATAAGAGCCTTTACATTGCATTGTTTTTTTCAAGCTAGAACATTTCAGTTGTTAGTGGTTGCACTGATTCTATGAGTAAAATCTTCTAACACAGGTAAAACCTCCCACTCTTATGAGTCCAAGGTGAACTCCAACTTCAAGAGTTCAGACTTCCATATTTTTCCCTTAAGACTGATTATAGATAAGTTTGAACGCCTGTTGGCTGGAGTTGTATTTTGAGGCTTTAATCCATATGACGAGGAGCTTTACCATGCAAGGTCCTGAAAGTTACAGTTGTAGCTGGTCACCACACTAACTGAACCCATTTGCTTCAACCTTTTCGTAACAAAGCCATTATAGTCATGAAGCATGTATCTATGCTCAGCATGGACAGGACCAAGCCACTGACTAGAACTTGTGTGGCAACCTCATTGCTGGGACAGATATAATTTCCAATGCCAAAGTACATTTGGTGGCTATTTAGCTCACCATGCAGGCTTTGGTGACAAAACAGTGAGGCAGCACTTGCTGGTCTGCGAGTTCATGAAGAGTACATTACTGCTCAGAGAATAGAGGTTATATCCTTAACCTAAAGTTTTTTTCTTGGTACTCTTTAAGACCACGCTATTAAAGCAAACAAACAATAGTGGTCTTATCAGCAGCTTGCTCCAACTGTTCTAAACTATGGATTTCCTTTGCATTTTTTACATTTTCCCTTCCACGTAAGAGATATGCACTACTTTGTGTGATGCTGTCACATGAAATCCTTTAGAAATACTTTCAAGTTTATTGTTGACATGGGACATAATGTGAAACATTTGTTGTCGTTTGAAAGTTGATGTTGTAATGGTGTGTCTGGCAACTTATTTGTCAAGATTAATGACTTTGTCTGTGCAAAGCATGTTCATTTTTATATTCTGCTGTTATGTATAGAGTATGTGCTGAGCATCTGTTTCTTTGTTGTTGCCAGCCCTTGACCGCCATGCCGGAATGCAGCCAGACGCCAAGAAGCCAACGACCAGACTACCTGGCTGACTTCTCCAGTGGCAGTAGCGAAGATAATTCATGCTCCTCGTCCAATGAAGAAGAGGAAGAAGAGATAAGAAAAACAGAAGAAGGTGGAATGAAAGAGAAGAGAGGCGAGAAGAAGGTCTCCTATGACCTCAGTGAAATCAAGGAGAAAAACGTGCCTGAGCGCTCAGGTAGGGCAGAGGGTCTTGGACTGCCTTACTTGAAAGGAAGAGTGTGACATCTACTTGCAAGGTTCTTGTTTTTTGTCTGTTTGCCAATTTAAAAAAGAAATAGCAGTTACCATGAACAATAGAGGCCTAAATGAGGCAATTAAAATTTATTGAGGTTAATCAAAACTCTGGAAGATTGAACTAAAGCTATATGCAGGTAAACAAATATTATTAAAAATAATGTTCACTGTTTTTGTCAAAACTGAAAAATTAGGTGCTGATATTCATTTGAAAATAAAAATCTAAGTTATTAATTAGACTGGGCTAATTAAGCCAAAAATCTGTTTTTTTTGGTAGAAATGGTGGAAATAAGTGAGCCAGTATTTGTACAGCAGACAGTATGAATCAATAGTTAGACTGATTACTAGTCATGTTAAAGGTGAAAAAAATGACTTGACGTCAGTAATCCTAGATAGGATTACAATTGGACTAACTTTACAAAGGAACAACTTTTAAAATGTCTCTAACTCTGTTAAAAATATAACTTCACTGCCAATATCTTCACCTCAGTGAAACAGTTCGCATAAGTCAATAAATGATCCTACCTATAAACACTTAACAGGTAGAATGAATAAATAAAAGTTCCTGAAACAAGATTGTCAAAGCACTCTGCTGGATAATCGAAACACTTTTGCAAGCTATTGCTTGTTTTTTTGTTTACTCTCATAAAACACTTTTTAAGAGCGATGAAGACAAAATACTTCCTTTCATGCTTTTAAAAAATTAAGTCATCCAAGGCAACAACAATTTTTTAAATGGAAATGACTAACTCTGGCAGTATACACTTATGTGGCATTTTAATAAGTATACTTGTGCAGTTGATAGCGTTCTGTCTAGTCATATGACTACAGCTGAATGAAGCACTGAGTATGAGAAAAAAGGGGGATTTAAGTGACTTTGAGCAAACATGATCATGGCTCGCAATTGCTGATCTACTTGGGTTTTCACTCACAACCATTTCTCAAAATATTTCCACTGAGTGGCAGTCATGCTGATGAAAATACCTTTTTGATATCAGAGGTCAGAGGAGAATCATTAGATTGGTTCAAAGTGTAGAAAAGGAACATTGGCTCAAATAACCACAGGTTGTGAAAACAATAATGCTAGAATTAAAAACATTATTAAACTGGTTTAATGTCAGCCCCAGCAATTAGATGTTCATGTCATGATATGGCATAAAAAATCAGAAAATATGGATTCATTCTGCTTTTCATAAGTGACTTAGCCTGATGAGGGAATGGGGAACATCTTCTTGGCTCACTTTGGGCACCTTTGTGCCAGCTGAGCAAAATGTAAACTCTACTGCATATTTTTGCTGACCATGCCCATCTGTTTATGACCACAAAGTGCCCATCTCCTCAAAGTGATTTCTTGAACATTATAATGAGTTAATTTTACTGTGATCTGGTTCATCGTGACCAGATATCAGTCCAGTTGAGCAACTTTGGGACATAATGGATTTAAAGCTGGTAAAACTGTAACAGTTGCTTGATGCTATTATGTCTATTATGTTGAAAAAAATTCTGATGAGTGTTTCTGGCACTTTAAGACTGTAACAGAAAATACTGAGAAGGTTTTGAAGAAAATAATGAGTCAAATTTGTTACTAGTATGGCGTACACAAGGGTTAATGTGAGGCTTTATGGATTGAGACTTAATTGTCGAGTGGTTCTAAAACTCATTCATTCAGATACATTCATGTACAGCTTTGTGTCATACAATTGGGCTATTTCTTACTTTCTACAAAGCAATAAATTTACTGATGCATAACAGTACTATAGATATGACCACACATCTACTCTATCACTAAAATACGTGCCAAACTCAACTGTTCTTTTTAAATTATACCATCATGAATTTTACCATGAAAGCCTATAAGATTGGTTGTGAGGTTGTGTTGTTACATACTGGTTATTTTGGAGGATTTCTCTGTGATATTTTATTCCAGTGAGTATTTTATTGCGTCAGATGGATGGACTCCAAACTGTTTGGAAATAACCTTTTCCTTGATTGATTGGCAGAAACTGACAAAGTTTATGTCTTAGATTTCCCCTCTGTGGAACAAGCGTCTATCAGGCCGAACTTTTTCAGAAAGATTTTTCAGACATCTAAAAGTTTGGGTCAAAACTGACTGGTGTCTGAAACACTTCACAGTTTCTCCCACTTTGACTAAAAAAAACTAATTCCATCTGAGTATGATGGTATTATTTTGTTGATGCAGAGTACAAGGAGACCAGAATAGATTTTAGTCAGATCTAGATGCTGCTTTTTCTATGAAGCAGGCTTGGAAGCCTGCTTCATAGTTCAGATATAAGGTGAATAAAAATTATGATTGTCTGTTCATTTATAACACAACCGGTTTTTATATTTAAAAAAATTGTTGCTCATTCAGTATTGCCTTTGGCCACTTAGCAGCTTCCTTGACCAGTTATCATCCTATCTTTTTAGCAAATGTGGAGCAACCAGTAGGTTTTCTAATGTCAATGTTGTTCTATAAATTCTTCAGAGACCAATGAGTAGTTTCTCTTTGCCATAATTTTCACATAGTGCTGTTCACTTTTCTCTAGTCTTCTGTTGTTCAATAAGATGCTTTTGATTTTCTCTATAAGCTCTTTATAAACTACAACTTACCTTCGTTCAGACATTGTCTATATTCACTTACTCCTTATGGTGCTTCAGGGACTGTAGGCAATTCCTGGTGGTTTACAGGACAGACGTGGAAATACCCTGGACAGGTATTAAACATAGAGGGCACTTTGTGGTCAAAAAAAAAACGAGGGGGGGGGGAGGGGGGGCTGCAGCAGACCCTCGATTGACCAACTGTAAACATCAATTTGTCTTACCATATGGCCTTATAGCCATCCATCTTTCCATCCATCAAGTTGGCTTTACTTATGTCCACTCCAGTCTTTTTAAAATGCTTGCATTTTTAAGACTTTATAATTGGTGTTTTGGTATTAATCTTCCAATCTTTTAATAACACATAATTATAAGTGATATTTTCAAATTTCCTGTCAACTTTAAACGTTTTTTAACTCAAAAAGGTCATTGGATGAATGACTGCCCTAGCACCCAACCACTGTTTTCTGGAGAAAACCTTGAAAAGAATGAGTGCCAACATTTGATCAAAATATGTTTAAGTAAATTTAAATTGAAGGAATTTTATGCAACAACATTAATGCAGGGTTTTTAAAATACATTTTTATGTTTTGGTATTTTGACGTGTTTTATTTGTTCTGAAGAAGGCTTCCATGGTTATAGTTAGACTGATTGGCTCTTTAACTTATTTTAAGTGTGCCTAAGTATTACTTAACAAATTCTTTTACATCCATATCCAAAAAAGGTCAGAATTAAAGTATGATCTTCTCAGAAGGTGATATGAGGTCCTTTGATGTTATGCTTACCCGATGCAGTGTTCCTTCCCTAATTGCTGCTGAAAAATCCTAATTTGTGAGTTAAGCAATATGGCTAATTTTGCCATGTTTGTTGGTAAAACAATTTTTCAGGAATGCAATAGCCGGTGGAAAAGGCCACAGCACTCACTTGAGAACAGGAGTGGGTGAAGTTAGGCATAGAAATAAACAGGAGAATTTTGATGGAAGCAGAAGCAGAGACCTTTTTGTAAAACACCTTGAAAATACCTTGAGGGTTTATGTAGAATTATACATTTTTTTCGCAAGAGTGATAAGCCTCATACATTTCTTCCAGTTCACAACAGTCAAATGTACTGAATCACTTTTTTGCTCTTAGAAGTGAGAAAAGAGAACACTTTTCACAGAAGTCAATGCACTGACCTTGGCTCAAAAATTCTCTGGTTGCATTGTGGGCTGAGTTATAGTGCTCAAGGAGAGGAGTCTTACATTAACCTATTCAATTTGTCACAAAATAAGGGGCTAAATCATAAAAAAGAGTAAAGTTTTTTGTGAAAGCGTATGCGTGTGTGTGTGGGTGTCTGCAGAGAGACAGCAACCTTGCCAAGTTCTTCTCCATACCAAGCCACCAAAGGACTGCTACAACTAAGCTCCATAATGCTCACAGTTGGCACTGACCAAACCTTGGAAGATTCTGCAGTCACAAACACACACAAGCACACATACTTGTAAGCTTGCTTTACGACGGATGCACACTAATACACTGGCTGATAGACAAGCTGGAACAGTATCCAGGTTTATAGAGCGAGTCTGTGATGGTTTTCTGTGTAATTTTCTATGTGCTTACTTGTGAGTGTGTGTGTCTGAGACAGAGCTGCTCCTTAATCTACCCTCAGACCTGACAAGAACCAGATTTCTTTTAAATTTCTGCCATTGACGGCACAAGACAGACTTGCTAATAACACAAAAGCTGAACCGCTGGGTCAGTGTGTCACACTTCATCTCATGACATAGGTGCCAAATGATGCAAAGCAAACAGGAGAGCTTGAAAGCCTGACAAAGACATTGTGAAATCTGAGGAGTGAAAAGCTGTTTTCTCAATCTCAAACACTTTCGTTTCAATGTTTCCTGTGTCTTTACAGGCCGCATGTTCTGGAAACCTCCAATCAAGTCCCCCAAAACAGGCACAACTCCCTCTGTATCTCCAACCCTTTCTGGTCCAATCAGACGTTCTATCTCTTGTCCGCGGTGCATTGCTTCCCTCCCGTCACCCAATGAGATGCGACCATTTTCCACCAGGCCACCTCCGTTGATTCCGATGGCGACGCCTCTCGCCAGGCCGAGCTCCGCTACGCTGAGCTCCGCTGCGATTCGCTCTCATTCGCTGAGTCGTAGTGGCTCCGCCCACCGTGTGCCTCACAGCAGCAGCCTCGGGACTATCCACTCTAATTTGGTAGGATACTCAACATACCTATGCAGAAACCATTGATGTGTTAAATTATAAAATATGCTTATATTGTTCATTTTTAAGTTGTTAGTCCAACCTGTAAACCTTAATTTTTTCTGTTTTTCATTTGACTATAATAGTAATGTTGATGTTTTAAAACAGATACAGTATATCAGGTTACTGCAGCCCACAATAATGACCTTCAAATGTGTCAATCTGTTGCTTTCTGCCTTCCTTCTCAAATTACCTTGCTCGATCACAGCCTGTCCTCTCTCAATATTGCTGAATAAAATGAAACCAGGCAGAGTTTACATAGTCAGGAATTACTTTTAAATTTGCATTTTAACTAATTTCTTTTTAGGGTTTTTTCCAGGTAGAAAGAAAAGGGAATACACTTTTGAAAATGATATTTCTTTGCAGCAATTTTAATTTAATGTAGACTAATTCACATAAGCTCAAATTTAGATACCTTTTTCACACCTTTTTTGTATGTAAAAAGGTCTCATCTCACTTGCATTCATGTTATTATTTTTTCTGAATTTTATGCAGTGAGCTCAGTGTTGCATTTCATTTTGCCTTAACATACAGGGAACTGCACTTTAAGATGGGAGCACCCAAGTAATTCTTAATGTTCGCATATTTCATAATTTTAATGTTTGAATTTGTACACTACACAACTTAGGCTACTGGAATGGGATGCCTGGAAACCAGCAAATTTTGGATTAGCTCCTGAGGAAAAAATTGTAAAAGAAAATCCAACCAAAATTTAGCCAAGAGCTTATTTGGCATTGCAACTAAAAAAAATGTGTAGCTTTTTTTAACCTTCCGAAATGAAAATAAATCTAATATGTAGTTTTGTCCTAAATTGCCATGCACATATTTTTAGGGTGAACCACTGATAAACATGAGGGCTAAGGAGCAGGAGGCCGAAATGGTGCGTCAGACCCTCTCAGCGCTCACTGCCATGCGGATCAGATTTCCGGGGAAGACTGAAGAAGAGGCTGAGGCAGTGCTAGACGAGGTGGGTAAAGATTTCTTATAGAACAGATCATTTATTTAATTTAATTTTCTTTTTGAATTGTTTTATGCTGGGGGGAAAAACACAGGGAAATTCTAAAAAGCAAAGAAACCAAGACATGCTTTGAATTTCTTTGTTCCCTGGTTTGATTATTATCACAGTGTAGATCACTTTGTAATTACATGGAATATGACAGAAAAATGTCCTGCTATTTTAAATCTGTATGTGCAGATGGTGCATATTTTAACTATTTTTATCCATGTACATTTGTTAATCAGCTAGTGAGAAACTAAAATATAGTCAAGTTTCATTTTATAAAAATAATGGCACATAATATCAAGCTCCCTTGCAAATTGTAAAGCTCATCTTGAATCTACAATGCAAAAGAAGTGTGAACCTGTGAAAGCAAAGTTAATGAGAAAATTAATTTGGGAATTTTATTACATGTACGCCATAATCATCAAAATAAATGAAGTCTGCAATATGTAATTCTTTATGCTATTGCTTTTTTTAAATATAAGATTAACACTTTTTGATTTAGAATTAAATAGATAAATTCACTTTTGGGGATGATCAAGTTTACTGAGATGAAGCTTTCCTATGTACTACATAGGATTTAGCTACGTTTCTGCACTGTGCAGAAACGTATTGTATAAATATGTTGTATAAATAGCATAAAATCTAAGGATACCTGGGGCACAAGTTTTGACTATCAATTTCAATTTTAGTAATACAAATTTCTCCTGCTTTTGTTTTACTGAATTAATAATAATAATTAAAAAATCTTTTCCTTGACATGACTTTTGACTTTTATCAACAAATAGTGGATTTTAGGTGTTTGTTATGATTTAAAATTAAAACTTGCCACAGGCAACACAGATTCCAAACTATTTTTGTGAAAGACAATTACCACTACATCTGTACGCAAAATGAAAGCACAGCTGAGAGACTACACCTGTACTGTTTACTCCTTAACCCAAAGGAGGAGTATTCACTTAGCTTTGTTGGGAGGCTTTTTGTAATAATTCACAGTTCAGGTTTAATTAGGCACAATCCATATTTGTATCTGAGTAATTGCCTCCCTAATCTTTCACTAAAAGCAGCAGGGAAAGTTTTTTTTGTGTGTGTTTATATTGTCTTTTTAAAAAGACAAACATAAAGGTTTAGTCTTTGAAACAAATGGCCCCTCAATGCAAAAAATACTGAATTCCAGTTGTGTACTTGCAGTTAGCATTAAACAAGTGGCTGAGGTAAAGCAAACCTACAAAAAGACAATTTTTAAAATAATATTGGAGACCCACTTGTATGTGGATATGTGTGTGTGAGAACAGAAAGGTAAATTGCACTGGAGCTTTCCACTGTGAGCCCTCTTCGCAGGGGATCTTGCACCTTATGTGACATAAGTACATCAGTGGGGAAATGTGGCTTAACAGCAACAGCAATGGGCTCTGGTTCTAAAAGTAAGAAAATGAGAATTACCAAGCTTTTAAATGTATCAAAAAAATACAACTATATTTTATGTTCAACATAACCTCCATAAGCAGGATTTTTTTTTTTTAGATTTTACCATTTTACAGGGTTGTAAAAGAGTCATGCATATAAAAGAGAGAAAAAAAGTCTAATTCTGGTTACAGCAAATAGTGACATGTGATTTTGTAAAGGTTTAAAATCTTTCCCTTGATTAGAGTAGAAAGACAGGACTCAAAGCACTAACAAGATAAGACAGTCTGTGTTGTGCTGCTGTAACCAGTCTGTCACCTTGTTCTTTCCTGTGTAGCTTGATATGGCAAATATTGTGCAAGGAATCCAGTGTCTAATGGTGCCGTCATGTTTGAACATAAAACTCTATTGTAACGAGGACCGATTTGAAGAAGACGTGAAGCGATAGGTCTTCCATAATGAGTCCATCCAAAATATTGTTTTGATATAAGTAAAATGTTTTCTGTTTTCCATTTCTGTAAAGAAATATTTTGCTATTCTTTATCCTCGTGTTTCTTTGGAAAGAAAAGTCCTGAACACAAGGAGTGTCTAAAAAATAAGTTTAAAAGATGAATAAATTTATCTGATTAGTTTTATTTCTGTTCCTACATAAACAACAGGCATGTAGAAACATTGAACGCTCAGAGAGGATGGTTAATGTTTAATGCAACTGGAAGTTTACATCTCATAAAATTGTCTTTAATAATAATATATTTGCTTTTTCTTTGTAACAAGCATTTCCAAAGCTTTAACATTAATTAATACTCACTGCACAGATTCTCGACAACTGGAGATACCATAAATCAAAGGTGGCGTCATACTGGTTGGTGAAGCTGGACTCGACCAAACAGCGGAAGGTGAGTCCCAAAGCAGAATCAAAACTCCTTGGCTAGTGCTTAATTAATTTTGTTTTAAGTCTTTTGTTTTAAGATATACTGTATCTTTCATGTCGATGCAGTGACTGGCAAATGATTCACATCTATTTTAATTTCTGAAATTTGTATTTTATTCAAATTTTACACCAACACAAAGTAGAGGATAGTCCAGAACTGGCAGTAAAATAATGCAGGACTTTCCCTTTTTTTTTCTTTTTTTCCTAAATAAAAATCTGAAATGGTGTTGTGTATTCGCCCTCTGATGCCCCTAAAAAAATGAGTGCAAAAAGTTGCCTTTAGAGTTCACCTAATTAGTCAATCAGCATCATGAAAATCTAAGAAACACAACAGACAAGTGAGATATAAAGCCAATGAGAAGTTCAAGGGAGGGGTAGGTTGTAAAACAATAAGTTGTAATCAAAGACCACGCTTTACTCTAACTGAAAATGGAAAGATTACATCACAAATACAAATCTAGCAAGAAATGACCATTCCAAAACTAACTGAGGAAAGATAGCTTTAAATCAAGCAGCCAAGAGACCTTTGGTAACTCTGGAGGAGCTGAAGAGATCATAAACTCAGGTGGGAGAATTAGTTCACAGAATAACTATTAGTTTTGAACTCCTAAGATTTTGCCTATATAGATTAACTGGCATCTTGTGGTTAAAGTAAAACCACAAGATGTCCCATTTAAAATTTCGTCCATCCTTCCATTGTCCTTCATTTTCCAAGAGAAAGTAGTGAGGCAATAATTCTATTAGAGGATCCCAGACATTTTTCTCCCCAGTGACCGTCTGCAGCTCATTATGAGAAACCCCAAGTCATTCCCAGGCCAGAAGGGAGACAGAGTCCCTCCAGCAAGTTTTGGGTCTGCTCCAGGGCCTTATCCCAGAGGGACAGGCCTACAGAAGCTCCAGAGGGAGGTGCCCAGGAGGGATCCTGATCAGATGTTCCAACCACCTCTGCTGATTCCTTTTGATGCAAAGGAGCAGCACCTCTACTCTGAACTCTTCTTAGATGACAGAGCTTTGCAGCCTGTCTCTAAAAAAGCATGTGTTTTTCAGTCACTTATATCTGGAATCTTGTTCTTTGATCACAGCGAATGTCTTGTAAGAACTTCCTTTTTCAGCCGGTTCTTCATCGAGACACTTTTAACCCCACAGTTTTTATGAGTAGACCATCTTTTCCCCGCTCCGAACCAAATCCTCAGGCTCAAATTCTGACTCCCATCTGCTTTACTCTTGGACAGGTCAGTGATGGAAGAAAACCTGTTGCAGGCTCCAAAAACATTTAAACTTGGGTGGACATTAGCCTTTCAGCAGGATGATGACCTTAAACATACAACCAGATCTAAAATAGAATAATTTAGGACAAACCATTGTAATGACCCAGAATCTTTAACAAGAGATGAATATTGATGAACTGAACTGCTTTGCCAAAGCAGTTGAAGTCTGAATCAGAACCCTGATACAAAACCTATGTTACAAAAAAAGAACTTGAAATAAGAAAACTTTTGAAAATAAAATTGTATTTTTATGTTTGTTTGATTTGGTAAAAGTTTAGAAAAACGTGTTGCTTTCCAACATGTCATCAAACATCATAAGAGAAAATAGAACTGGAAAGCTTTATCTTTTTTTTAAAATTAATTTAGGGAAAATAAAGACAGAGTGTTTTTAAAAATCTGTTGTTACTTATGTCCATGTACCCATGAAAGTTACTCTGAAGATCAGTTTAGGTTTAAGTTTTTGTCGAAATATATTGTGAAAGTTTTGACATGTTTTTAGGAAACACCCTTTCCTGGTTTTCTGATGTTTCAAAATAAAAAGGTTTATTTTGAAGCCTGTCTAGGACACATTTCTCTGAAATAATGCTTCATTTATATTTTTTTATCTTAGGTGTGAAAGAGTTAAATGTGGGACACATTTATCTTTCAGACACAATTCACTATGATAATTCCTTTCTTTTTTTTGATGTTAGGTCTAAAAGTGTTAAAAATGGGGCTCATTTATCTTTTGACGTCCGTATAAATGGCCTGTCTCTGCCTTTGCTGTCAGGGCTTCTATATCGTCGCCTTGCACGGAATAGACGTTGTTAAAACCAACGAACATGACAAAATGTCACTGCGCCTACCTATTTCTGTGAAAGCTTTTGAACAACTTTTAAAACACAAAAAATAATCCCCAAATCAAACTTTAGAGGAAAAAAAAAGAGCAGAAAAAAACATGACAAACATGAAGATCATTACCATGTCAGACCATTGGAGGGAGATCCACCAAAAAAGATGTAAACAAAACAGGAGAGGGGACAAGACGTGAAATGGCATCCAGTAGGCGTGTCAGTAATGATGTGATCTCTCAGCCATTGCTTTCTGCACCGCTGTGCTCAGCTGTGGGTCTCGGTGGCGTGAGCTCATGTTTATTTGGAGTGAAGCAGCCTAATGAGCAGCAGGCAGAGGTCAGGAACGTAGCACCCTCCGCTCTGCCGCCTGATTACCATACCAAGACATATCTGTGTGTGTTTACTCATCTATCAGTTTGTCTGAGAGCGCATGCATGCCCTGTTCGCCTCATGCTGCTGTGGGGAAATCTCACTTCTTTTGCATCGATAACAAACACACACACATGCGTGGATGCACAGACGGACAAGCACTTCAGTAATGAGGAGCGAGGAATCAAAGTCAAAAGAGCCTCAGCACTGCTCTGAGCTGGGATGAAAAGGGGAAGAAAAGGGAAGAAATAGAAGGTTGTGAGGTGGGAAGGGATAGGAAAAAGGAAGAGGGGGAAAGATGGAAGCCTGGCGAAGGTGTCTGTGGACCGCCCAGGAACTTCTGACACCTTATCTCCAAGACTGACATTGGTGCAGCAATTAGCCCTCTTCCAGGCTCTCCACTGTCTGCCCCAATGGTTTTTCATCCTAGCTGTAGCTCAGCCACACACACAAAGACATTGGATTTGTATCTTTGCATGGAGACTTCTATGAAAGCACTGACTAAACTGCTCAAATAGTCAGTGCACAGTGTAAAATTTGATTAAAGTTTTTCTTCAGTCGGTTTGTGTTGTTGAATATGCATTTTTCTCTGGATTTATTCATAAATGCAAGCTTGCTCTTTGTTGGTGAGTAAATTTGGGAGCCTCTGTGATTGCTAATTTCATGGTAAGATCAACAGGGAAAAAATAGGAAGAAATTACAACTGCAAGAAATGCCAAGTTCTGCATATAAATAGGAAACGTCATTTTGTATTTCATTACCACAAACATTCCTTTTACTTGTACAACTTTGAACCTAAAGTAACTATTGTTTTTCTCTTCATCTCACATTTACTTTCTGGTTGCCTCAGGTGTTGGACATTGTTCGTTCAAACGTTCGCTTGGTGTTGCAGCGGATCTGGAGGGAGCCGGATGTAGAGAGCCTACACCTCTATCGGCTTTTTAAACGCGTCTTCAATCGACTGTTGTGGAGTCATGGCCAGGGCCTTTGGAGCTGCTTCTCCAACACCGGGTAGGCTGGTCTGAGCTTGACTAGAGCTGCGTCTACAAATTAATTCTATTAAAATGAACAAAGGAGGCAACACCACTAGAAGTATATTGAACAGAAAACCAGTGGGTCTATTCTAAATACGCTGTCCTTCAAATTTGTTTTCACCTCAGGTATGAAGCCTTACAAAGATTTGCTTTAAATTCATCACAATGTAAAAAATCTATTTTTAATTCCTGTTCTTTTATGTGGTAGGAGGGAAAAAAATCCTCCTTTACAAGATATTTTTCTACCTGAAGTCGTGACACCCGTTTTCTCCTATCACTGATTTTTGATCAGTCCTCTTTGTTTTTCTTTTTTAGATGCTTCACAGTCTGGAGTAATCTCTTGTATTCTCATCTTTTCAGCTCATTTCACAAATCTTCTCCATGATTTAGGGCTGGGGCTGGCATGTTCAGGAAAAAAATAATAGTTATTTTGTGTCTGGTGAACCATTTTTGTTTTGGGTCTTTCATGTAATCTTGCTGGAAAACCAATGATAATCTGTTTTCAGTATTCAAGCACAGGCCGCCACATTTTAATTAAAAAAATTCCTGGGTTTACAATAAGAGTTCATGCACTCCAACAAGGCACAGTCCCACAGCATTACGGATCATCCACCATGCTTAACAGAACCATATTTATTTGTTTCAGTCCAGAATCTCCTGCAGTATTTCTTGCTGAAAACTTTGATTTCATTTGATCAAAGCAAACCGTTCCAATTAAAATTACAGTACCATATCAACAATGCATGTTGGGACAGAATGAGTGTTTCCCTGATATGCCTCTTGAATATTCTGTCGACTTGCAATCTTTCTCATTTTTGCATTTAACCTTCATTTAATCGAATTAAGAACAAAATTACAACCTAGTGGAAAAGTGTGTAATGATTGTTATGGAGACTTTATCCTCAAAAAAACAGTATTTGCTGCCAGGAGCTTTGAATATTTTATACTCCTCTTGTCTTTCTCATTGCTGTGGGTGGAAAGAAAGTTGGCTTTTTGTTAAGCTTTTAAACTTTTTAGTAGATACTTTGGCTTTTCTTATGGGCAACTATTGTCTTGTTGCATACTTAATACTTGCTTATAAAGATCAACACACATCTCCATTATTGGAAAGGCATGTTCTCTAGTTGTTCCAATTTTAGACTAGCTAAGAGAAATTTGTCTTTTTGTCACGTCAGTCATATAGAAAGAGCAAAACATAAACAAAAAACTTTTCACCTTTCTGATAAACTTTAAAAATTTGAAGTATCAATTACAAAAACTCTTGAGTTATATTTATTTTTCTAGAATAAGTATAAAATGATTTAGACATGTGATGAATTTGTAGTGAAATCAAATAGACAAAGACAGAAAAAAAGCATCAGAAAACCGTGAATAAATTTGAATTGTTTGCAGTCAACAGAAACAAGCCAATTATTACTTTATTCACTCTTCTGTCTCCATAACTTGAGGTTCATACACTGCCTAGATTCCCCTTGCCTGTGAGCCCTCCATTCATCAATAAACCAGTTTTTACTGACAGCAGGGACAATTGGGCATTTCCAGTCAGTCTGACTTCAGAAAAAATGTACAGGTTGAAAAATGGAGATGTGGAGTGACTGACAGATCAAGCAGACCCCACTGCACTTTCTCCACTTAAACCGGGCCTAATCAGGGCTTATTCACAGGTGAGAGCAGGAAGAAAGAGAAAGGGAGGAATGCAATCGGGTGGGAGGTGAATGAAGGCCTCTTAAGTTCAGGCTGTTATCTGACAATCTGAAGTCTTCTTGTGGTTTATGTTTTTCAGTAATATTTACTTTTCTAAAAAACAACAACTTTACATCGAGATCAGGCGGGGTTTGTCCTGTAACTGAAGTCTTACAAGCACTTTTAATCAGACAACAAGAGGAAAGATTCAGATATACCACCCCGACCTGCAGACAGCTGCTGAACTGCTGGCTTTTCATCTCCTTTGAGATAAAGGTGTGACCTTCTCACATCTCCTAGTCTCCATATCATTTACAGTTCAGTTGTTCGGCGGCGTGTTCCCCCTGGCACAGAGGGCTCAGGGGGGTAATTCGAACCGCCGTCCACAGCTCTCCACTTTGCTCTCCTGCTTCCATTGGAGTCCTAATTGAGGGTGAGTGTGGGAGGGAGTGAGCAGGTGACAGAGATGAAGCGCTTGATAAGAGTAGGGAGAGTCAAAGTCTAAGAGAGTGACTGAGAGAATTTGGAAAGATGGAAAAGGAGAATTTGTTTGAAATGGCAGGGATTGGGTGGAGGGACATTAGCCTGCAAGGATTAGTATAGACAAGGCTGGATCCCACCCCCCTCGTTTTATCTTTGTCTGATCACAGCGTGGTCTTGGATGATACAGCTAGCTCTCTAGCCTACCGCCTGGCCTCCTCCTTTCAACGTGGCACGCTCTAACATGGATGAACCCAACAGGGAGCCCCATATCACGCAGAGACAGTGAGGCGGTTACTGCTCCAAAAGCACCCTCTAAATCCAGGGTGAAGACCCCCTCCTTGCTCCTCTCTGTCTCTTGTTTGATATTTTATCTGAGGGACTTAACAACAATCAAACGGCCCAGCAGCTATTGTGGGAAATGAATTCAGCAGGCTTTAAGAAACGACTTAGGAGGAGGAGAATGGAAACACAGAGTTTTGAACCCTTTCAGAGGAAGCACGTCCCACCTCCCAAGGAGCGAAGAGGGGAAGACATCAAAACTTCCCCCCTGGGGTTGTCTGTCTCAGTTCTTGAAACTCTCTCCCAGTCAGGGGTATGTATAGGATTGTTAGGAGGGTTAACTGTACTTGGATTTGTTTCATCCCTCCTCTGGGTTTATCCCCATGCCGGAAGATTTCAGAGCGTATGCAGATGTGTTTGGACTCATCAACAGCAAAAAGGCTACACTGTGGTCATAATGCATACATAATTAACTTGTAAGTGAGGCTTCCTGGTGATGTTTATTACTTGTATGCTAACTGGGCTCTCTGCTCTTCAGCTCGTCGTGGGAGATCATCTTCAACAAGGGCAGCGATGTGGTATCACCCCAGGAGCTGCAATGCTGTCGCCGACTCGTCCAGCTGTGCCGGGACTGCCTGTTAGTCGTTTACAAGTTTGTCTCAGAGTCACGTGGCACTTTGACAAGCTTCAGTCCTGAATGGGATGATACAAGGTAAAAAGTGGGTTCAAATGTTTAGATTTCTTGGACTTTGGCAGTTTCTCTGGATTATTCTGCTGTAGTACAGATTTGACAAACATGCTAGGATGCAATATGAGTTACTCAGGGCCCTCCACTCTTCGGAGGGAAGGCACATTCATCTGTATGGCCTTGTTTTTATACAAGGCAATTCAAACTGCTTTACAAAAGCTACTTAAAAATCATAAAAATAAGAAATATGCCTAATGAAACCATAATATGCAGATAAAAATGTTGAGTTTTGGTCTTGAGGATTCATTTGATGACCTGTGTATATACTTCATACCTGCCCAGTAATTTTAAGATGTATTTACATTACCTTGCAAAAGTATTCTACTCCTTTTTGTCACATTACAACCACAAACCTCACTGTTAAATTTTATAAGCTAGAGCAGCACAAAGTAGTTTATTATTGTAAAATGGAAAGTAAGATAGAATGTCACATGGCTTTCAATAATTTTTGAAACATAAAGAAATATATATAAGCAATGTCTTGCATTTGTTTCCAGCCTCTTTACTCTGACACCTTTAAAAAAGTGCAGCCAGCTGCTTTCAGAAGGCAGTTAATAAATAAATACAGTCCATTTGTGCATAATGTAGTCTCAGTATAAATCCAGTTACTCTGTACAGGCCTCAGAGGTTTTTTTTGAAGATCATTATTCAACAATCAAGATCATAAAGATCAAGGAACACAGAAGACAGGTCAGGGAGAAACTTGTGGAGAATATTAAACCCAGGTTACAAAACAAAATCCCAAGCTTTGTACATTTTGCAAAGCTGTGTTCAGTTCTCTTATCTAAAAAGTGGAAAGTGTATGACACAGCTACAAACCTGTAAAAACATATCAGAGCACTTAAAGAGACATGACAACCAAGAAGACTCTCAGACACAGAACCTGACAAGAGACCCTGATTACTCTGGAAGAGCTTCAGAGATCCACACCTCAGGTGGTAAAATCTATTGCAACTATTGGTCAGGCACTCCAATCTATTTTCTAATAGACGACCATAACAAATCCTGTTTGCAGGTTATGGCAAGTCCTGTAAGGGAAACAGCAAACCTGTGCAATGTGGTGTTTGTGGAGAATTTATTCATTCTCCATGCAAAGTTCTTGATGTTCAAGGTTGAAGAAGAGTCAGTGAATTGAATTCATGAATTCCTTTTATCAATACCAAAATAGAGGCGATCCATAGTTTATGTTATCCTTAAGGGCTAGCAGAACAAAATGGCACCCAAGAACACTTTGTGATCTCCATTGTTAGCCTCTATCTAAGTTACGCACTAAAAAGGGCGTTCCCTCGTGTGTCATGTCCTCTAACCTTAGCTTTGAGGGTGTGTCCTAACATGTCATTTCCTTTGCAATTATTTATTCTCAGTATGCTCAAATCAGATGGGACCACATTTGTCCTTTTTTGGTCAACATTGAAAACAATGGAAAAAAGACATAAAAAAAAACATAAAACAAACTTAAACTATCACGTATGAAATACATTGAAGCTTAGGGATTGTAATGTGACAAAAGGTGAAAAAGTTCAAGGGGGATTAGTGCTGTTCAGGCTGGAAGCCATTCACTGAGCCAGATCCTCTAAACTTGCATTTTTGAGGCTCAGTAAACACTAAAGTAATTGGTTTTATTATAACATTCAGTTGGAAGACGCCATCCTTACTTAATCTATTAAATGTGAAGATCACTATGTTTTAGTTTACAAAGTGAAATAATAAGAATGAACAGAAATATAGGTGTAAAATTTAATGAGATATTACAACCAGTCAATCTTATTGGCATTGATCAGGTCATAATAATGCAATGTTGGGTGTCTGTATTTACAAACTCCTCCCCACAACCCAAAACAACATGACATCACAAGAAAATTCCCAGATGTCCTGCGTCCAGCTCATTATGCCGTATCTTGCAGGTGGTTTTAATGCTCTGGCTGATTGCTGCAATGCCATGAACAATTTAAAAGCGTAGTAAAAAATAAATCAGATAATAAACACAACACAGAGGCAATGAATGAAGCCTGCTGCAGTGCTGAACATGTGTAAAGATAACAACCTTGATGAATATTTATTTTGGTGTTTTAATCTGATATTTAGGTCAAAGTGGAGTGTTAATCAAAGCAGTCTAAAGCCCCACAAGTGCCAAGTAATAAATTCCCTTTGGAAGGCGCTGACAAACACTGCGTTACGATACAGCTATCATCATTAAACCTCTTTCAGGAAACATTTCCGCTTCCCCCACTCCCCCTCTGCGGAGCCTTGCAGCCATCATCTTCTTCATGCAACCCCTGATAAAAACAAACAAGCAAAAATCAGCCTCTTTCTATTTTTAACGCAGATCGCCACAGGGAACAGCGGCTCAGGTTTGGAATGAGTGAACTTTTAAATCACACATGCTGTGGGCCCGTCAGACAGGGCGGGAGCCGAGTTGGGAGCAGGGAGAGAGAGGGAGCGTGCCGTTAACAGGAAATAATGGCCCACAGATTAGCGCTCAGGTTAGCCTGGGGCCTCTGGAGGCCTTCTTAATTCAATTAGAGCCCAGATGAGTCTGAGCAGCAAATGACCTTACGAGAGAGAGCTTTTTTTTTCTCTTTTTTTTTTTCCTGCGCCCTCACTTTACATGATTCATAAGCCTTCCACATATTTTAACAAGCTATCACTTTGCTTCTAGTGTATAAAAACCTTAACTGTTAAAAGGTATGTGGTGTTTCTATGCTTTATCTCTTCTGACGTTCTTTTATAATTTGCCTGAACTGATTTTTGAGTATGTGAATGCAAATATGTTCTCTATTTGATCTGATCATTCTCAGAACCACATGTTTGCTGAAGGTATCCTTTCGGATAGCTTTAAGCTTGCATTTGTCTGTCTTTCCTTATTTCCTCTGTCTATATATCTTTGTATAAAAAAGCTTTCCATTTGCTGCTGGACCAACCTCCACCCATGGCTCCCCTCCTGCTGCTGTCGCTGCTGCTTCCTCTACCTCCTCTTCTTCCGTCTCTTCGCCCCTCAACTCAGGTCTCTGCTTGGTTTAGTTCCACCCCCCTTCATCCTGCAACAATGCCTCTTCTCACTGCTTTCTGTTGGTGCCACCACTTCAACATTTCAATGAAGGCCTGATCAAACTTGCCCGAAGATGGTTGCTTTGGCTGCAGAACCAACAGTCTGGCATGATGTCCAGTCTGGCATGATGTCCTTCTCCTTCTCTCATTAGCAAAAGAAAAAAAAAGCCATATTGAGACTATAATAGTAAAATGAGACAGTTTAATGATTGCACTATGTTCCCCAAATTTGTTTCTATATGTTGCAAGAGAAAAAATAAGGAGAAGAAATCACATTCAGACTGTTTGGAGCACTTTCAATCGATTCTGCAAACATTCAACCTGTTTGCAGCACAGCACTCGAGTGCCACCACGTCTTTAACACAATGCTTTAATCAAGAGCATCCTACTGTAGCCTGAGAACATTTGAAGTACAAGTGTCTCAGTGGGAACTGAGAGCTTCACCTGCACCGCATTTGTGCCATTATCAACCCAAGCACCGCTCTCTTCCCGTCACAGGTTGACAGGAAAAAAAAAAAAAGTTTGGTTTATAACGTGTGGTTTGCAGTTCCACAAGTGGCTCACATCTCTTCATCGGCATGCGAAGGGCTGCGCACAAGCCACTGCTGCCACTTCAGATGGCTGAGAAGCAATTAGGGTTTTATTTTCTCATTGATGCATATGCATAACATGAAAGGCTAAACTGTGTGGATGTGAAAGTGTATGGGTGTGCATGCTCATGTCCTGTGCCATGACCCGATAGCGGTCCCTCTCTCTAAACCCTCAAGTTGACTTCTTTAGCTGTATTTACATCTGAAAGACCAAGTGACGGTCTATATAAAAACTCTGAAATCATATTTTAGCTCAAGGCGCATGCCTGCTGGCATTTTGCTTCCAAAAAATGTGGATTATAGGGACTGACCCTGTCTTTTACATTAAAATGACCCAAACATGAATGACGAAACATAAACCTTATCATGTACATATGAGCTGTGTTTCTGAACTTTAAAAAGGTAAACCTATACATCAGTGGAAGTTTAATAAAATGTACGATGCTTTTGAAAGGCTGTTTTGCAGAAAATGGCAAAAGGACACAGGTGTTTTTCATTTCCACATGAATTACCTTTCAGATTTACCAGCCCTCAACATGATCATATACAAAGAAGCATTGGTTTGCCTTAGAAGGCAGCAACCTTCAGGGCTGTGAAATGAAGCCAGATGGCTCAAGCAGTGAGCTGGTTTCATAAACGGCATATTTTAATGCCAAACTTTCAATAACGAGAAGCAGTGATTCAAGTCTGAGGTAATTATTCAAATTCATCACAAAGGCGGCATTTTTCACATTTTCTTTTTTAATAACTCTCAAGTTAAAACTGAATTTTGAGAAAGTTGCACCTAATGAAACTTTTGTTGGTAAGAGTGATAGGTGGGTTCTATTACTGCTGTCTATTAAGTCCTCACAACCCACACAGAATGCAAAGATCAGGACCTTAGATAGAAAAGCCCAGGGTGACATCCTTTATAAGGTACAGTACAACAGATATACAACACCTTGGACCTTACAAAAATAGGATGAAGTGTGTGTTTATAGGTATACGGCTCAATTTACCTCTAACCTATGCTCAACTTACCCTATACACAGGATAAGTTGTGCCATGAGACACCCTTTTTTGGACAAGCTATAATATGAAAACAGTTATGTCTTCTGCACTTGTTCTGATTACAATATTCTGAAATATATGCAAACATGTAACTTTACAATCATACTAAGGTTGCCTTGATGTAGTGATCCTCATCTTACCCCAATCTTCCCTACTTAGGTATTAAATCCCTTACACTATGATACACTATATACCTATATATATATATATATATATATATATATATATATATATATATATATATATATATATATATATATATATATATATATATATATATATATATATATATATATTCAAAATTCTACCTGTGTGTAATTTTATCTTAAAAATAAACACAGTTTAAAGCAGTTTTGAACTACAAAAATAAATCCCTAGCCTTGAATTTCTCACAAAGCACTGTCCATTCTATCGCTGAAAATAGAAAGAGTTTGGCACAACTGCAAATCTACCAAGTCACAACTGTTTACCTAAACTAACAGGCCAGACAAACAGAGAACCAGCCAAGAGGCCAATCCACAACTCCAGTGCGAAAATCCCTGGACAGGACTACTAACCACAAATATGGCATTCAATAGTCAGGAAGAAGTCCTATTTTAAATTTTACACCATTCATCTATCGAACACAGCAAAAACATGGTCTAAACTGGAATGAGGTGAACACATTCCCCAACTCGATTAATGGTGGCAGCAACATGCTCTGAGGATTTTATTTTAATGAAGGGCTAGAGAAGCTCAGAATTGATTGAAAGATTGATGAAAAATACAACCAAGTGGTGAAAAAAAGACTTGCGAATGGGGGAGAGGGTCACCTTACTGTTACAGAGTACCTATACCTGCAGCTACAAATAGTCTGTAAATGATGTTAACAGATACCCTGTAAAATCTGATTGAACTTGAAATCCAAGGGAATGAATACTTTTACTGGGTAGTGTTGTCTACTTGATTTCTTCAAAATCATCTTTTCTCTCATGTATCCAATGTGTGAACAGATTAAGTCTCCTCTTTGCAGCATTCCATGTGGATCAAAGTTTGTCTTTTACCTGGGGTCCACCGGGTTTCTGACCACACCTGCCTGCTCCTTTTCAAACACATCCCCTCTGTGTGAAGAGCTCTGATCAAGTGTGTCAAAACCCTCATGAGCTGGAGGACCCTCAGTGGGCCTGTGTGGGCTGATGAGAGGAAGTAGCCAAATAGCCTTACTAATGACTTTCTTGTTAAGCCTGGAATTACTGGCAATACCAAAAGACTTAATTTTCTCATGATGACAAAAGTTTCAAATTCTATTAACTTTCATTTGTCTGAAAAGTGTGGCAGTAATTAGAGCTAATTGAGGTGTTGAGCTCAATGTGGGCAGCGAATAACCTTTGAGATGCCAAAGCCTCTTGGTTTATGATTGCGTCAGCGGTCGTTGCAGTCTCCCCGTCCGTCCTTAGTCATGATATGCTGTTTTTTTCTGGCCTTCTCTCAACACACTGTGGCATTCACATCCCAATGGATGACTATAGTCTGGCCTGTCAAGAGACACAGTAGTTTACAGCAACTTTGCATCTTTAAGTCGCAGCTCATGTCTCTGTTGATGGATTTAAGCAAAAGCACAAGTGCATGAACAAGCCTCCCCCTCTGGCCTTCTTTGTGATCAAAAGGAGGACGAACCTGGAAGATGCCGAACGAGGGTCCAATTAAATGTAGCCTGCAGAGACAGCAGCCGCTTGGACGTGAGAGGCGCTCTGCCTTCCCCACATCTCACCACTGCCAGAGAGATTCTTTTTATGAGCTGAATATTCTCAAAGTGAATTGCAGAGGAACTGCAAAGAACACACACTCAGCCCTACATGAATGTTCAATATTTTTCTTTCTTTCTTCCTTTTCCATGCTGACTTTTGGGGAAGACATGGAGCTGAGCAATGGGAAAACAAACAAACAAGACAAGGCAAAAATCAGTCCATTTGTAACATTTAAATATTTGTGCGAAATTATTTGATGTAGAGGGGAAGAAAAAGCAGTTTAGGCTGCATAATAGATGTATGAAAGGGTGAAAGCAGAACTTCCCTACCTCTCAGAAGCTGAAGTGCAAAACTTTTAGAACAAGTGTCACACTGAGCCATTGTTCACCCAGTCCAGGGGTAGATGAAGACTGTGCTTCAGGGATCCATACAACCCACTTGAAGCTGTTTCAAGGACACTCTCATTGGACTAAATCAATTTAATATGAATCCCCTCCTAACTCTCTGGGGTTTGAGGCTCTGTTGATACGAATGCCCTTAGCGACATTTTTATTTTCTTTTTTTTCCTTCTTCTTCTCCTTCTTCTTCTTCTCCTTTCCGGTCGACTTTGGGAGAAGCTGCTCAGCTAATTTGTCCAAGAGCTATTTCACAAGAAACGAGAGCTGTCAGAGAAAAATGTGCTATCGCTACACATGGTTTAAAGAAGATATTATTCCTCCACTCTAATCCTCAGCCCCAATGGGTTCCTTTTGATTAGATTGTCACATCTTAAACACTTCCACGGGGAGCTCCTTCTCATGACCATTGTACTTGTTTAACTAAACGAGCATTAGATGTTTTTTTTATTAAATAAAAATCCTCACTGAAGATGTAAAAAATAGGGTCACTGAATGTATAATTCAATGATATAAGTTTTCTGGAAAAGCCTGTAAATTCAAATCGCTGCTCATACTTATCAAAGTGGAATTTTAAAACTCTCCATCTCATGTGTTTTAAGTAAGTACCCCGACATTTGCCTAAGCTTCCGTTAACCCTCCCCAGGATCTGATCACCTCATCTGACATTGCTCCGACAGCCGTATCTAACTCATTTAAAGCAACCAGGGCAGATGCGGGGACGGGTCCAGAACCTCCCCACCTCCCACAACTCCTTGACTCTATCTCAACCTGATACTGGTCTCATTCTCAGGTACTGGAACGCTGTTAGCAGGAGCTGCCTCACTGCTCTGTCTCGGTGGAAGGTGTCATAGAAAAGTCTTAGAAAGGTACTGACGTCTGTGCCTCGGAACGATAGGTGAGGATTTTCTGTTCCTGATTCTAGAAACTTTAAGGGTCAAATTACAGAAAAACTCGAAGTAAACTGCCCCAAAGAGTCGCAATGCATTACCCCTACAGCTTATGTACAGTTAATCTGTTTTTGCTCTCTATATTTGGCATTTAGGACATTGTCCATTTTAGTTACTTCGTTTATTTGCAGAAGACTATTTATTTTGAGGGATTTGAATTTATTTAACACCACGTTTGAAAAAGTATTTGCCACCTTAAAGATTTATTCAGTCAATAATTTTTGGCACATTCAAATGTTTTAGATCATCACATTTTAATATCAAGAGAAAGATATCGTGTTAGTTTTGTAAAAGACAAAATTTGAAAATGTTGACAGTCTAAAGAGACAGGGTTCGTTGAACCCTAAGAGCTTCTTAACCTGTGTACAGGCATACTGCAGTGTTGCACTGACCCTGCGTGCTCTTTTTCAAAGGCTTATTTGTGTTGTTTTGGGAAGTGATGGTCTGACAGGACACTCCCTCACACACCCATGCTCTTGATGACTGTGACATCTGCTGCATTCTCCTGAGCACTGAGGCAAAGACCGCAGGATGGTCAAGGGAAATAACACTATTAAAAGCCAAACTAGCCAAAACCAAAACATCATACCCCAATCTAAAAAAATTCTAAAATTTGACATGACATGTAGGTCTGTTTACAAGTTCATGTTTAAGACTTTGGTTCCTAAATGGAGCCGTGGAGGACTGTCATAGGAGTACACAGCCTCCCAAAACTTCTCAGAAGCTGCATTGACAGTGACATGAAGTCATAAAAAAAAAATCACATTTTCCCTGACTAATGATGATTCAACAATAGGAAACAAAGTAATGGGAGTTGCCAGGGCCCAAGGGTGGAGCAATTGGCCCATACGCGAACGCCTTTGTCTTTGACGCAGCCATCATGGGTTTGAGTCCCAGCCCGATATTCTTTGTTGCATGTCTTTCCTCTCTCTCTCAACTTGCTTTCCTGTCTGACAACTGTCAAGTTAAGGTCACTAGAACCAAGAAAAACTTTTTTTTTGCGGGGGGGAAAAAAAAGATGGGCAAAACAGCTTCAAGATTAAAGACCCTGCAGGGACTCTGCGGTGGGACAGGTGGTAGAGCATGCAACCCATATAAAGAGGTCTCGGTATTCAATACAGCCGTCACAGGCCCGAGTTCCAGCCCAACAAACATTGCGGCATGTCTGCCCTTTCTCTCGCAACCTGCTTTCTTGACTGATTGCTCTCAAATAAAAGGCAAAGGAGATGATAAAACACACAAATTTTAAAGCCCTTCCTGACCTTGTGTGATCCTCAAAACATTTAGTAACATTCTCTAGACAGGAAAGACAAAAGTGGAATATTTTATGGAAACTGTTTGCTCTTTTACGTGTGACGTCAAACTAGGGCTACTTTCACACAGCAGTTGACTGCAACCCAAATCTGATTTGGTTCCCCATATGTGACCTATGTTCAACCAGCGGTCCAGTTCTGACCTTTTTACCCCCCCAAAAGAATCTGATTGTGCCATACTTATCCCAATGTTTTCAAAGCGTCTGCAGTTTGAATGGTCCTCACTCATTTTATGTAGTTAATATGAGATGAGCATCACCTGTTGACACCAGTAGAAGCCACACAATACATCTGTATGTAAAGAAATGGTTGAAATTTTAGCACATCACCTCACAGTCCCATCACTCCTGACTTTAACTACACATCCAAACAGACTTTCACTACAGAAGTTGCACAGTGTGCTGCTGTGTGATGTCAGCGTTCCTCTTCTGAGCATACAGTTCACTTTAGGATTGTAAATTGTACGCACAGAAGTTGTGATTGTGGTCAGGTTTAATTAGTAGTATGAACAGCCACAAAATAAAATAAAATGTTTTTAGCTAAAAAATCAATAACAATGTGCTGGTAGTGCAGCACATTGTTTGTCTCCTGTGTTTCTTCAGAACCTGAGTGACCTGCTGTAATAGAACCACATATCTGCATTCTACCAGAAAAGTAAACCCAAAAGGAAAGTGACTGGTTATCAACTCTAGCAACATTGACATATACAGAAGGACAATAATCCAGTGCACAGCACCATCTCCAAATGGAAGCAAAATTAAGGTTTTGGAGTGTCTT